CCCTGCTTCCTTTAAGTACCTAGTTCCGCTTAAGTTGGCACTGTGATATATTTTGTTACTGGGGCATCTGTGCAGGAACACTGCGAGGACTCTAGCGGAGGCGGGGGTGGGAGAGGGAGCCATGCTGCTCGTTCTCAACGAAGCCCCTGCACCTCCAGTGACAGCCGCCTCTCGTGTTATTTCTGGTGCCACTCAAGAGCGTACACAGCGGGTACAGCAGGCACCGGCGCCCGCAGCTCGAACGCCGCAGCGGCAGCAACTTCCTGCCACATTGCCCTTCGATTTCTCAAGTACGCAGCAGCACATACTGCAGTGCACCGTTTGAGTGCACCGTGAACTTATTTGGCATATGGAATGTAATCGTTCGCAACTCTGCCCGTCTCTGCATACAGGCATCGTCGTGGACGGTGGTCGAGTCGCTCAGTTCCCCGCGGGGGGGAATAATGGGCCACCCCCAAGCACATCTTCTGCGCCTGCTTCCAGTACTGCCACCTCCCCACTTGCCCCTGCAGGGGGAACTGCTGCTGCGTCATTGACATCTACCATAGATGCACAGGTAAAAGCACTGATCCGGCGCCGCGCAGAAGAGGCGGTGGCCGCAGCAACAGCGGATCCCGCATCCCTGAGCATCATCCGAGTACAGAATCCAGTCATTGGAGATGCCATAAAAGCTGCTGTAGATGAGCGCCAGGCAGCTACTCTTCCAAGAGGAACAGATGCAGCTCAACCAGCGGAGGCTGGAGCAGCGATGAAGCAGTTGATGGAACTCCTAGAAAAAGAATATGAAGCTCAGAAAAAGGTAAGGTGCAAGCATGTTGTAGGGGGCCCACCCGGCTCTGTTGCCTCTGCTGCTCTTGCTGCTGCCTGCTCCATCTTAGCCTGCGTTGACAGACTGTACGACTGCATCGAGAAGCAGCAACTGCAACCAAAACAAATCTATGCAATTCTGTCTCCCTGTACAGGCTGAAAGCGATAGGTTGAGGCGTATGCAGGCAATACAACGGGATCCGCTATCGCAGGAGGCTCAGCAGTTCTTGCTAGAGG